AGACAGGGTCTCACTCTGTCGCCCATGCTGGAGTACAGTGGCAGGATTATTGCTCACTGCAGCTTTGACCTCCTGGGCTCAAGCAATCCTCCTGCCTCAGACTCCCAAGTAGCTGGGGCTACAGGCACACGCCCCCATGTCCAGCTAATTTCCTTTTATTTTGTAAAGATGGGGTCTTGCTATGTTGCCCAGGCTGGTCTCAAACTCCTGGCCTCAAGTCATCCTCCCGCTTTGGCCTCCCAAAGTGTTGGGATTACAGGCATCAGCCACCGCACCCAGCCTCAATCTCTTTTCAACCCCTTTTTTATTTTGGGAAACTGGAAAATCAGGACTTGCATAAGGTGAACAAACTTCCAGTTTTCATTATTTTTAAAATTTGTTTTTCTTTTCCCAACTTTGTAACTTGAGGATCTTTAGACCTATAGAAAATTGAAAGAATGTTGTCATGAATACCTGTATACCTCCACCTGGAGGCAACATTTGTGAATACTTTTGCCACATTGCTTTATCTTTACTTCTCTACTACTGAACCATTTTAATATAAATAGCAGGCATCCCGGCCCTTCACCCGTAAATACTTGAGCTATAAATACTTCAGCAAGTGTCTCCTAAGAACAAGTACATTTTGCTTCCTAACTACCACATCATTGTCACACCTAATCATAACAGGTGCTATTTCCATCAGATCATCTAACAGTCAATCCATGTTCAGGTGTCTACAGTTGTTCCCCAGATGTCTTTTATTATTTTATTTATTTACTTTTATTTATTTATTTATTTATTTATTTATTTTATTATTCCAGGGTATTGTGAGGGTACAAACATTATAGTTATTTATGTCTTTGCCTCACCTAAATGTGGGTTAAAGCCATGCCCTTCCCTCCCTTTAGTGCTCCCCGTGTCCTTTAGTTGTAGATTTGTCCCCTCATCCCCCTAATCCCTAGAGAGTATTTCTGAAAGACATAAATTTTAATGTATTAAAGATGTATTTTTGTTGCAGAGGAATATGACAGGGTAATCAATAAAATACTTTTAAACATAAAAGGAATTAAATT